TCGGAAAAATTACGCACATACATGCTCACATACATACATACAAACACATACATTCATACTAGCACACACATTTATAGAAAAAACTATATGAGGGATGTATAAAGATGATGTGAACTGTCGACGAGTCAATAGCATAAGGTTGACAGCACGTGCAGTTCGGAAAGACCAATAAAACATAATATGCAAATATATTTACATATTAAAAGTGCGTGTGTATGTATGTTTATATGAATGAATATGTATATGCATTGGTAATGTTTATTATCGAAACCCGCCCTTAAAGAGAGTGTCACATATATTTGACATTTATATTTGTCACAGTAGCTGTGACAGCGTCCCAAAACTATGCAGCACAACAACAACAACAATGCCGAAGCAAACAATGAGTCTTATTAGAAAATTAAAGAATGTGAAAACTATATTCAAATACAAACGAAAAAGAAGCACAAATAACGTGCAACCGAATTTTATACCACGGTTCAATTCAACAATTATGTTTTTAGAAAAATTTCACGCGAAGAGATTATAGACATATTCGACAAAATGGTGACTTGAAAAAATATCATTCGTTTGAACATTATCTGACAAATCTATTATATCTGTCAAGTGAAACTTGAAGCTGGTCAGTCCAGTCGTCTCGGAGAAATTTTGATCTTGCAAGTACGATTCAAAAATCTTCTCAGACATATGAAGATCCCACATAACCGGTGATCCAAATAGATGTATTTTTTTTCATTAGCCTTTTTTTGACAGATCACGCGTGAATCGTTTGACTGACGTTTAGATCTTTAAATGAAAGCGTACAAATTCAGTTGTGCAAGAACTGAAACCACTATATCTTCCCAAGCGACATCGCTTCACTCTATAGGCTCTCGAAAAGTTACAAGAAGATCCGACTTTTTCAAACAAAATTTTGTTTCTGTCTCAATGTCTAACGAAACGAACGACGAAGAATAACCTGAACAGATCATCGGTCCATATTACTACAGAAATGATGCCGGTGCGAACGTAACCGTCAATAGCGACCGTTATCGCGCCATGATGACCGGTCGATCGGATTTCCTGTGTGGATATGTAAAATCTATGCGGATAATGCCATTTCAATAAAATCACGCGAGTCATTCGCCAGTTACCATCATGGCCGCGGGCAACATTTGAATGAGTTAATCTTAAAAAAAATGTCCCTCGAATGATAATAAACATTTCCCAAAAAACTTGAAATTTCTGTGGGTTTCTTTAAAAAAGTAGTAGTATATTTTAATTAGTTCGTAAGTCGTAGGTACTCCACTTTTTTAAATATGGTGACATAACTTTTTGTTTGGGAAGTAAAAGGCGCCAGCGTTCGCTGTAAATATGTCTGAAATAAAATACTCGCTAGATTATAAATACTAATAGAAAGAGTATTGTTGCTACATAATAAGTATGAATTAAAAGTAAAGGAAGTATGGAAAATAAATTCCTAAGAAATTTCAAATGCGAAGGTCTCTGGATGACAGTTGATCAGACATTGAAAAAACGGCCCTGAGTCTTATTTGCTATTACAGCTCCAATATACTTATAAAGAAGTACAACACATTGCGCTCGGGTATAGAAACTGTCAAGCGAAATAAGAGAGAAATTAATCTCAAGAGCCGCGAGTAGTTAGATATGAAAGAGAGCGTAATGCCAGTTAGGCATTTGTGTGATTAGAGTTGGCTTGTATTCGCGGCAATTAAATTGCAAACATCGAATTACATTATTACAACTGCGTCTCCGGCTGCGCTCAGTTACTACTGATATACACAAACATATAAACGTCTCTTTGTATATGTGCATTGTATGTATATGTCTGTATCCACAGGCTTTTTGCTTTGCATCCGGACGACACACAGTAGCCACCAGTCGCCGGTAAGCAGTCTCAAGCGCTGATTATCCCAGAATGATGTGTGTTAGCAGTCTGTCTGCCGTCGTGCTTGTTCCTGCTGCTGCGTGCGTTGGTCACGTGCTGCCATTAGCATCAACGGTGATGATGGTGAATTATAGATGACACGTGGCAAGACAACCGACAGTCACTGCCAAAGCCATATAGTCAGAGTCATAGCTACCCGCCAAAGCAATTCCCCAGCGACCCAAGCAAGTTGAGCAGTATTGAACATTGCACTGTTCAACACAACGCATTTCGTATTACCTTATATAACGTCTGGTCGGCCGTTCACAACTCGCATGCAGTTCCACCCTCCTCCACATGATGCCGTTACTGTGCTCAGTTGCATTCGACGCGCCATCACTCCCCAGTTCAGCAACGGAAGTGGCAATAAGAAGTTGTCAATATTGAGTGATTATCTGTGCGATTGCAAAACTCGACTCGTTGCCGCAGTGATTCAATATTAACTAGCGAGCTTAGTGTGTGGCTGATCGAATGCTGAACGTCGGTGTGTGTGCTTGCGTAACTGGTTGCCTGCTGCCAAGCGCTTGATGCCTATTGCCAATGGGAAAACACCAATCGACGACGAGATTTCACAAACTTCGTCGCACCAATACCGGCACAATAAGTTGTGCTGCTGGTGTTGGTATACATAGGAAATGTGGCAATCGTTTAGTTATCATCACCGCCAGTTGAGTATTTAGTTGCGCTATTGCTTTATATTTCAACATGATTGAGTTTCTAATGAAAAGTTTCGAAAAGGAAGCCAGTTCAGATCGAACTCCTTGCGGAAGTATGCGAAAGCTGTTTAATTTCCTGAGTTACTGAAGCATAGTCTACGCATTGTAGGGTTAACTGTTGACTTTGTAAACGATCATCTTTTATATGCGTACAGTATACAATAGTGTAAAAATGGAAAAGTTTGATTCCCTTGTTATTGGTAAGAAGTGAAGTTATGCAGCAGAGTGCTGCTTTTAGCTATATCAAATATTTATATAAGAAATTATGTATACACATAATTATTTTACCACTAACGAATTGGTGAAAAGTACCTAACAAACGAAGTGCTCCGAAAAGATGTCTACGAAACTACCCAGCATTTGCTGCTAAAAACTAACACAAAGGCCTTATATTCCCAGTAATTAGCTAGAAGTCATCAGTGAGATTGTATCTGAATTTTGACTTCCAGATCCAGCAACAGCTCTGTCAATACTCAGCTCTATTCACTTTAAACTGTAACGCATTCGCGCATGAAACGTCTATAATGTAGACTTGGTAGGATCAATCAGCCTCAGAGGTATGTTATTACCAGAAGATATTTGTGTTAAACAGATCATTCCAAGATCTCTTCGGCATATAAATGTATATTGCAGTTTATTCGGAATATACTATACATAGTCTGCTAAAACATAACAGACTTTTTCGTATTGGTTTTCTCATCATAATCGGTCATTGTCAACGTTATAGGCAAATACGACCTTCTTTTGACGAGGGAAATGAATACTTTAGAAAAAATATTGAGTCCGGTCAATTAATCGTGTCGAACTTTCCAGGGGTAGTCAAGCGACTTCACACAGCCAAACAAAAAAATAATCCAGCGGTGGTAATTCGAACGGTCTTAGAGGACGTGCAACAGAGCCACCACCCGAGGATCTTGTATGGAAAACATTTACTTGAAGAAATAACCACCACAAAAAAGTCAGAGTGAGGCAGAACAATGGAAAAATAATTAAAATTTTTTTAATAAAATATTGGCGAGGCGGTACAAAATCAAAATTGAATATTACTTAAGTTCAAGGTAGTATATTTGTAAAATGAAAAATGACCGAATTGGCTTTTTGATCAAAATAAAATATTGGCAATGCCAAAAATGTTTAAAAACTTACTATAAATTTATTTTTTAAAATGCTGTCATTTTGTCAAACTGTGATATTTTTACCCCATATATTTTCAAGTTAATGAGTTGACCTTAAATTATTCCTTGGTTCAAGTTGATAAGAGATTAGTCAGAGATATCCGCTGATATGATTGCTTCATTGCTGCCATATCTTTACTTGGTATAAATCTGTCGTCAATCTGGAACTCCGAATTTAATTTTCAAAATACATCTGCAGGTTTTTGAGAAAGCGTATCACGAAGTTCCCTACTTCTTAAAGAAGAGACTTCAAATTTAATGGGGAATGTTTATTATCATTCGAAAGGACATTCTTTGTTATTTATTTACTGAATATTATCTCTTTCAAATATGGCTCACGCCACACGATGACTCGTTCCAGCAGACACGCGTGATGTTTTGCTCCAAGGCCTGGACTTTAAATTTTACATATCCCCAGGCAATCAGTCGGTTATCACGGCGAGAACGGTCGCAATTGACGGTAACGTTTTCACCGACATCATTTGTGAAGACTAATGATTCGACCGACCTACCAACCACACCAAACCGTTGTTTTTATCTAGATTAAAATACCCTTTTTGAATCTCTTCAAGTTACTCTTCGTCCAACGTAAACGTAAAATGCGCCAAATCGTACCGTACGTCAGTCCAAGTTCCTGCGGACGGCACCGAATCGATTCTGCACGGCCTTTGTGGACGCATTCTATTCGGTCGAATATTATCCAGTAATGAATGCTGGGTCTCAAGATGGGTGACAGTGTTGCGAATAGGCCGATTATGTAAACTTTGTGCAGTCGTGCACTCCATGACGAAATGCCAAACAATAACTTACAAAAATAAGATGAGAACTTGTCACGACTAACACGTGATCTGTCCAGAAAAGATTGTTAAAAAAGTACCTCTACTTGGATTACCCGTTATGTGCGAGAAAACTACATCTAACCTATCGATTTACCGTTCTCGCCTGAACCAACCATTGTAGCCTAAATCACGGGTTACAAATATGGATATTGTCCACGTATGGTAATTTAAAGCATTGTTTATATATTCCAAATATGAAATTAGATTTATTTTGTTATATTATATAAAATGCTAAGTCACGTTTCTAATTAAGATTCTCTATGAAAGATAAAAGATTTCATTAAAATATAGTACTCGGCTTAGTTAAGCATATGACTATATATAACGGTAAGGAAGGTGAAGATCGTCGTTAGTCAGATTCATCACAGTACGTGGTTTAGTTCTTCACGTATCCTACTCGTATTAGGAACCCCTACAATGGGTGTCGCAAAATTTATTTCGTTTTTGTGTTTGGCACTCGTGACACAACAGTTTTTAGGTAAATAAGCTTTCCATTACAAATATTTATTAAAAGTGTCTTGGTTTAAAATACAGGAAACTATGCGGATGCGATCGAAATTGAGGGATCAATATACGGCGGTCTCCGTTTAGGACTGCGATCATCAATAGTAATATATTGCTTAGATTTTATACAGTGGAAAGAAACAAAACTAAAACTAGTTTACATGTTTTGTTTTAGTTGAATTTTTTCTCCCCTCGCCCAAGCTGCTTGTCAAGGTATTCGCTACTATGTGGTTTCTTTTTTCGACCGCGTTGCTGTTCTACTAGTTGTTGTTCATTCTTTTATTGATTTCTAATATTGATTTGTAATATCTTGTCTTACATGAACAATAAATGTCAAAAGTGCTAACAAATATGAAAATTAATCTCTATATACATTATCCATACGAAAAGGGGCAAAAAGTCAAGAAAGGAAATACTCGCATATTTTCAAATACATTTAAGATGTGGTATTAAGGACAGTCTGCTATATTGTACGTCAAATAAGTCAGGAATACTAGTGTTTGGTTGAAGCGGAATACTAAATATTTATAGCTTTCCTAATACCCTTCACAGGTGCATTTTTTAAACGTGTAAAAGGATGTAAAAGAAATATTTTTATTGCGATTTTGATCGGTGAGTTTTTATAGCAATCTTTCTTCATACAATTTCTAGCTTCCATATACGGATCATTAGGGATCATATATACTCTAAACAATGTGGTTAGTTAAAAATTTATAGAATCGATTCAGATGTTTCAGTAACACCGGATAATCCATTAAAAAAATTTCTAGCTTCAAGTTGACTCTAAATCCACTCGACGAAATGTGAGTAGGGAAACACTATAAGGTGGGGTTCCCTCTCCTCATCTATGAACCCTGATAGTAAAGGATCTGCTTAAAAACTTGAGGATCGTGGCTGCTGGGTTATTGCGAAGATCAAAAGTAAAGTTCCTACGTACCGTGTACAGAGGTATCACAGCATCGTAACAAATTGAGTGATCGGAAGTGATCTCGCCATCTACCCAAGTAAGTAAGTAATAAGATGGTTTTATTTAATACAAGTTACAAGACCCGGTGGCACCGCTGCCGCAAATGTTAGACATCGTCGGAAGGTGTATGACTGCGAAAGTGGCTAACAGATTCACAACTTTAACAGGCCATTGCCTGTTTGGCGCCCATGCTGTAAGGCTGGGAATCTTGCAGAAACTGTATGGAAAAAGAATAGGGGGAGCAACTCAACACTTATTTTTTGACTATACCGCATTTGGGAAGTTAAATACTTGGGGCATATGTTCAGTTATCCCATAGAACTGGCAGGAGTTCAATATAAAACGAAAGTGAATGTGCGAACACAGAAGTTTTTCTTTTCTATGGCTTCCAGTCCTAACCCCAATGCACATATAACGGAGTGGATGAACGATTTCTTAATAAAATTACATGGAAATATTGCGCTGAGCATTAAGTGTTTCGTGACTACATAACTGAGATGTTACTGGGTTTATCTCCCCAGCAGTAATAGGTTGGGTTGCTTGAGTTGGTTTTGTTTAAAATATACAAAAAACGGGGATAATCACTCTACACTTTCGTCATCTGCCAGGTATTGATTTCTTTGGTACAATTCTTTTATAAATTTTTGCAGGCATCTGAAAATATTCCGAATGACGTGAAAGCATAGAAGTTGTGAGAGTTTCTATTGGCTGGACACCGAACTTAGCTCAGTTTTATTATAACGTCTTAAATAACTTTAATTTGGTCATAAATTATGGGAAGACTAACTTAATTTTAAATTTTTACATAAAAGGAACACTACTGCAGTAGGTTCTATACTTTTTAAGAATATGTGTGTCCACTTAAAACGTTCTATAAACGCTACTCTACAGAAATAATTTGTATGAAACAAGTGAAAAATTCTCAGCATTGCGCGCAAAGCGATAGATCCTAATCAGTGGGAAAGCACACTACGGCAGAACTGTTTAAACACACATTTATGCATTAATATAATTATAAATATGAATTATAAAATTTGCGATTGTTTCATACGCACTCTAGATCCACCACCAACTGAACGCGCAGACGTTTGAGCTTAAAAATATACTTGGATTGTGGGAGTCGTGCGATATATTCCGTATATTTTACTTTTTGTTAATGCTTTATTATTTACTGCAGGCAGTACATCGGTTCAAGAAGGTAACAAAAATTGTATTAATTCATTTATTTCACTATTAATTTTTTTTGTTTTAATATTCAGATGTGGATTTACAACCCTTTGTTAAAGTTGGCAACAAGTATTATTTAGTGAGTCGGGGCTTAAAGGTATTCAAACACCAAATAAACACCTAAGAGCCATTACAATTTTATTTACATAAAACACATTGTCTTCCCTTTGTAGCTGGATTGGTTCGGAGCTGTTAATTTTTGTCGTTCTTACGACAGCTGAAAAGAATGCTTTATTTTTGCACTTGTCGCCGTTGTTGAATATTAGTGAAATGCGTGTTTGGACAAGTAGCAACGATTTGTCGGTGGAAAGCACCTTCATGTCGCTGAATAGTAGACGTCCAATTCTTTATACATTCTGAGGACAGAACGAACCGAACAATGCGGGCGATGGGGAGGATTGTGTAGTAGTCGTGCTACGCAATGATCTTTATATAATGAACGATAATAGTTGTTCATTACAAATGCAAATTATTTGCGAAAAGCGTTCACCATTAAATGCTTGTAATTCACCCACAAAATCAAACTGTGAGAATGTAACTAAGAATTGTGGTTTAAAAAAACTCATGGAAGTGTTTCTACAATCAGCAAATATTTTAAACTGCCAGGTATAATAATATGTAAATAAATATATTTTTAAATTATTCCGAAGATATAGTAAGCTTGCTTTGTGGTTTGATGTGGTTTTGTGTGTCAAAATAAAGAGTTATAATAGTAAAATCCGAAAATATAGTGAGCTGTATAAAATGAAATGAGTTCGTTAGGACAGAAAACAAGATACAGTCAGCTTTTTGAGTAAGGCTGTATGGAATTTTCATAGATTTTCGATTACATAACATCACTGAAAATTTTATTGAAGCTTTACTTAAAAAGCCGAATATCTCGAGAAGTATTAGTGATAGCGATTTTGGTATCGGACCTTTTTTTTAGCAAATAAAATTTTCTACAAGTTTTTCATGTACACTTTTCCTATACCTTTTGTTATTACGAGATATATACAAAAATGTGAATTTCGTGGAAGAATCAGTTTTAGAGCCCCATACTACCTCGCCGATGTGTGTCTAAAGTCAAAGCAATGCCATAAAATGTCTCTGAGCTATAAAAATTTAAAGATAAAAAATCTCGATTGTCGTGCATTTTCAATGGAAAATTTTTACATGCCTTGATTCAGTCCGTAATGTTAATATTAAGTGCTCACATTTTCAGGGAATTTTTTTAGGGTATTTCCAAGGAAATTTCATTTTTCATTTTAATTTCGCATAATTTTATGTTAAAATGGTAAATTTTTCACTTGACAATGGATGACTTCGCTTTACAACAAGAACCAAATGACAATAAGTCTCATATGGTTCAGTTCTCTTTCAACAAAGAGCGAAAAATACCCTTACTTTTTTAGCTTCCATAAAACGAATATGATGATCTCAGTAGTGAAATTAACTTTTTACTGAAACTGTCGGCAAATTTGTCCATTATGATCTTGAAATTAAGTGGTTACATTATTCTGAAAACAATGTGGTTAACATTAAGGGTTTCGGTGCATAAGAGTTTTTATATTAGTAGGTGCCTCCCCACAGCACCAATATGATGAACGTAGTGATATACTGATGACTTGAATAGTAAGGTGCATTACAAGTTAATAAGATAGAATTTCTGCCAATCACTTATCGATATATGACCGTATACATAAGCATTCATAGTACTTTTCTTAAATAAATCATATTATAATATATAAATATAATAGCTAAATACTCTTCACAGGTGCATTTCTGTTAGAAACTATGTGTTCAGTTTGTATGGAAGCTATATGCTATAGTTAACTGATCTGAACAATTTCTTCGGAGATTACATTGTTGCCTCAGAAAATAATCTGTACCAAATTTCATGAGTATATCATGTCAAATGTGAAAGTTTTCTATACAAAAACTTGATTCCGATCATTCAGTTTGTATGGCAGCTATATGTTATAGTGTTCCGATATCGACAGTTCCGACAAATGAGCAGCTTCTTGAAGAGAAAATGACATTTGCAAAATTTCAAAACGATGTCTTGAAAACTGAGGGACCAGTTCGTATATGTATAGGCAGACGGGCATGGCTAAATCGACTCAGCTCAACGTACTGATCATTTAGATATAATATATACTTTAAAGGGTCTTCGACGCTTCCTTCTGGGTGTTACAAACTTCGTGACAAACTTAATATGCCTTGTCCAGGGTATAAAAACCATAACCAAACTGATTAGTAAAATACTAGTTGACAACGAGATTTTTTTTTTTTTTTTTGAAATGCACTCAAAATAAAGACATCTTTTTCACTTTAGATTATAACTCAGCTATTATTCCTTACTTTAAGAATTAAAACAAAGGAAAACTTCCAAAAAAGAAGTATGGTTTGAACCAAATTATTTTGACTATTTTGAGTCAGAATGAAATATTTATATATAAATTACAAACTTGATACCGGCTTTCAAAAATTCTTATAGCTCGAGAGAAAACTACGGCTTGTGCTTACGGTTCACATGATTTGTGAGTGAAGATAAAGTTATTGGTTGAATTCACTGTTTGGTAAACACGTATGTATATATTACATTATATATACGTATACATATAATATTTAAAGCTTGTTGTTATAAGAAACATGATCTTTATAACTTGGAAACAATTCACTTGTTGTTTCACATCACCACCAACTGGACGCGCTGACGCTTAAGCGAAATGTTTTAATGATGGATCAAGCACAATATGTAATTTTGCTCTTGCTTTTAATGTACTTCTCTGTGTATACTACATGCAGTTCATGGGTTTAAGAAGGTAATATAAATTTATTCATTCATTTATTTAAACATTATTTTTTTTTTTTAATATACGGGTGAAGCTGTGGATTTACAACCCTTCATTAAAGTTGGCAGCAAGTATTATTTAGTGACAACTCCGGCCACAGAGGTACTCAAACATAAACACCTAAGTGACATTACAATCAGCCAATTCGGGCCAAAAATATTTGGTTATCAATGAGCGGTAGTGATTCCTATTTACAGTAATTTGCGGACCTTGATCATCACGGAAGAACTACGGCCCAATGACGCCGCCGACCCATAAACTGCATCAAACTGTAATTTTTTCGGGTTGCAATGGTGCTGCCTGACCAA